TTTGCAATGGTTTGGTAGATGGTAATGAAGAATGAAGAAAGGATGAATACAAGAGATATAGCAGAGGAGGAGTCATCAGGACTTGATAACTAAGAAGTAAGGAAGTAGTCAGTAAGCATTAATTAAATGCCTACTATGCACTAGGCATTGTGCCAAGTGCTGGAAGAGAAGGAGATTTGGAAAAAAACCCCAACAACCTATATTTTGATCATAGGAAGCTGGGTAAGTTTTGGTGTCAATGATAGAAATAGCAAAGTTAAAATAAAGAGTGAGTTTTGGAGGAAATGAAATAAATATGGTTTTGGACATGTTGAGTAAGGTGACAGTGAAACCTTCAAGTGGAAATGTCCTGTAGGAGGATTGAGATGTGGATCTGGAACTGAGTATAGAAGTCAGGATTAGAGATGCATATTTGGGAATTATTTGTAGGGAGGTGGTGGTTGAAGTCTTAGGAATAAATGAAATTGCCAGGGGGGAGAATGTTGGGAGAGAAGAGAAGAAGGTGAAGAACAGAACTGAAAGAAACATCCACTGAAGAGTCAAAGAAGGAGGCAAAGATGCAGTTAGAGGAGAAGAACCAGGAGGATGTAGTATTTCTGAAGCCAAGGAAAGAAAGAACATTACAGAATCATAGTCTTAGAGTTAAAAGAGACCTTACAGACTTCTGAGTCTAACCTCCTCATTTTACAGTTGAGGAAACTGAGGCATAATCAATCAGTAAGCATTAATTAAGCACCTATGTGCTAGGCCTTGTGCTAGGCTCTGGGGATACAAATACAACCAAAGGAACAATTCCTAATTGCAAGTAAGACACCAAAGATATCTATATCTATATCTACATTTGTATCTGTATAAATCTATGATTTGTATTTATTCTTTTTATATTCTGAATATAATTAAAAATAATATATATATATATATATGCTATATGTCTATATATGTTATATTTAAGTATAAGTTACATAAGTTAGGTCATATAAGTTATGTTATACAAGTATGTATAAATATTATATTTAAATATATATAACATATACACACATATTATATACGTGTATTTTATTACATACAGAATAAATATAAAAAGAACAAATAAATACAAAGTAATTAAATGCAAGGTAGTTTGAGAGGGAGGGTACTAGCATTTGAAAGGATTGGGAAAGTTTCATATAGAAGGTAATGTTTTGGCTATATTTTGAAGAAAGAGAGGGATTCTGTGAGGGAAGGATGAGGAGAGAGTGCATTCTAGGCCTGGAGTGGAGGAAGGCTCTTACAAAGGAATGGAAATGGAAAATGGAATGTTATGCTGGAGAAACAGAGAGAAGGTCAGTATGGCTGGATCACCTAGTGTGGAAGAGGGAATGATGTACCACGACATTGGAAAGATCGATTGAACAAGGATGTGCAGGGGCTTGAGTTTATACTTGATCTGAGAGGCAATAGCCAGCCATTGGCTTGATTGAGGACAGAAGTGATGGGATCACACCTATGCTCATGTCCAGGAAATGCTTATGGAGGAGGGGGGCCAGAAAACATACATACTCAGTAACTCATGTTTCTAATATTCTACCTACACTGGAACCTTTCTCTAGCTCCCTTGTATTGGACACCCTGCACTTTATTAACCCTTATGTCACAGCACCTGCAAACGCTGAATGCACTGCTTTTGTTTGCTCCTCAGAGTTGTAGAGCTGTAGGCTACAACATGCTTTTTCTTCCGGGCTGGGGGTGGGGTGGGGTATGTGTCCAGGGAAATCTGTTGATCCGTTCTATCCTCTTTGCTGTGCTGCTCTCTGCTGGCATCTCCATGGAACTATTTACTGCTGCTCTGCTGGTCTTCAGTTATTTGGAAGACTCTTCTTCCATTGAAGAAAGAGTGGCCTAGGGTTATTTCAGCAGGTTTTTTTTTTTTGTTAGTGATTCACACCCAGACCATTGCAGGACAGAGAAGTCCTTAGTCTTCAAATATATCTTTTAAACTGAGTTTTCCTGTTGCCCCTCACTCAGACTTTGTCATTCCAAACTTTTTCTGAATTATGATCAGGAAATTCCTTTGAACTCTCATCATATCACTGGGGATCTGCTTGGGTCCTCGTAAATCACTCTGAGAGCAAGACTGGGAGGAACTGGGTGGAGTTAGTAAAGCTGCTGATCTTCTATGTGTAGTGGAACTCAGTAAAATTTATTTTACACTCTCCCCAGCCCCCAACCCCTAAATCCCTCTATTACCTGAACCATCCAATAAATGCTTTTTACAATATAGGGTCCCTAAGAAAACAGTTTGATTTACCAATTATTAACAGAATAGAAGGTTATATTCTTTAACTTTGGAAATATGGTATTAAAATTGACCATTGTATCTATGACTTTCTGTCTCTGACCCATACTGATTGTGAGACGACCACCGTATTCAACTAAAGTTTCCTACCCTTTCTAGTTGACTTTATTTACACTTTTGTAGTCAATGAATTTATTCTCCTGTCTCAGTTTTCTTTATTTTCATCATATCATAGAAGTGTTGGTATGACTTGTTTTTTGTTGGGGCCATGTCGTCTCACTGTAATTCCTGCTTCCTTTTAAAAATATTCTTAACAATACCAATAATGTTTTTATAGAATTTTTCTTAGAATTGAAGTCAAACGCAATAGCCTATAGTTTGTAGGCTCTTTTTTTTAAAAAAATTTGAGATATTTCTTCTTTTTGAGTCCTGTTCTCTTTCTTTCTTTCTTTCTTTCTTTCTTTCTTTCTTTCTTTCTTTCTTTCCTTTCTTTCTTCTTCTTTCTTCTTCTCCTTCCTTCCTTCCTTCCTTCCTTCCTTCCTTCCTTCCTTCCTTCCTTCCTTCCTTCCTTCCTTCCTTCCTTCCTTCCTTCCTTCTTCTTCTTCTTCTTCTTTCTTTCTTTCTTTTCTTTCTTTCTTTCTTTCTTTCTTTCTTCTTTCTTCTTTCTTCCTTCCTTCCTTCCTTCTTCCTTCCTTCCTTCCTTCCTTCCTTCCTTCCTTCCTTCCTTCCTTCCTTCCTTCCTTCCTTCTTTCTTTCTTTCTTTCTTTCTTTCTTTCTTTCTTCTTTCTTTCTTTCTTTCTTTTCTTTCTTTCTTTCTTTCTTTCTTTCTTTCTTTCTTTCTTTCTTCTTCTTTCTTCCTTCCTTCCTTCCTTCCTTCCTTCCTTCCTTCCTTCCTTCCGTCCTTCTTTCTTTCTTTCTTTCTTTCTTCTTTCTTCTTTCTTTCTTCTTTCTTCTTTCTTTCTTTCTTTCCTTCTTTCCTTCTTTCCTTCTTTCCTTCTTTCCTTCTTCTTCCTTCTTTCCTTCTTTCTTTCTTTCTTTCTTTCTTTCTTTCTTTCTTTCTTTCTTTCTTTCTTTCTTTCTTCCTTTCTTTCTTCCCTTCTTCCTTCCTTCCCTCCTTCCCTCCTTTCTTTCTTTCTTCCTTTCTTCCTTCCTTTCTTTCTTCCTTCCTTCCTTCCTTCCTTCCTTCCTTCCTTCCTTCCTTCCTTCCTTCCTTCCTTTCTTTCTTTCTTCTTTTCTTCCTTCCTTTCTTCTTCTTTCTTCTTTCTTTCTTCTTTCTTTCTTTCTTTCTTTCTTTCTTTCTTTCTTCTTTCTTTCTTCTTTCTTTCTTTCTTTCTTTCTTTTCTTTCTTTTTCTTCTTTCCTTCCTTCCTTCCTTCTGTCCTTCTTTCCTTCCTTCTTTCCTTCTTTCCTTCTTTCCTTCTTTCTTTCCTTCTTTCCTTCTTTCTTATCAGCGTTAAGTGACTTGCACAGACTCACACAGTTAGGTAAGTTTCTGAGGCTGGATTTGAATTCAGGTCCTCCTGACAGTGGGTGCTGTATCCACTGTGCCACTTAGCTGCCCCTTCTTCACGATCTTTCAAAGGCTGCCATTTCAGAAATTACATCTGCTTATTCTTTCACTAAGTCCAGGATGCAGTTTATGTGGGCTCAGTGATTTGAATTCACTAAGGGAAGCCTTATACTTTCTTTTTTTGGTGAGGCAATTGGAGTTAAGTGACTTGCCCAGGGTCACACAGCTAGTGAGTACCAAGTGTCTGAGGTCAGATTTGAACTCAGGTCCTAGTGACTGATGCTGGAGGATCCAGCTGGAGCTCTATCCACTGCGCCACCTAACCTATCTTACTATTCATCTTAGAATGATATCTGTGGTGTGACCCGGGAACTGTTTTGGCTGAAGTGAGGTAGAAAAGAAAGTCTTTGGAGTTGAAGGGGTTAAGGAATTACACAGTCAATTTCATTGTTAGATGAGTCATTAACATAATAGTGGTTAATCATGGAAGAAAGTTGGGAGGTGGCCTGCTGGCCATTGGACAGCAGCATCAAACATGGACATAAGGGGATATAAACAGAGTACCTGGACTTTAGTGAGATGAAGTGAGAAAAGGAAGCAGGGAAGAGCCCATTTAAAAACTAACAGGATCTTAGGAATGAAAAATGACAATTTATGAAACATTTCTTCATTAGCCATCAGAGAATAACCAGAGGTCACCTCAATGAGGAAAGTAATTTTGGAACCAGGGAGTAAGAGAAACGATCTCACTTTGAAACAAGTATTGTGATAAGCCAAGCAGAGCTTTTAAGTAAGAATCAAAATTTTAAATTTAAATAACTACTATTGCTATTTAGGTGGAAAAATGATTGGCTGGTGAAAAGTTATTTGGAATAATGGAATCAAAGACTATCTCCACAGCTGAGGCTCAGGCTGAAGGAAACTGAAGAACTTATAAGTCAAATTCATGGTTCTCTGATCTACCAAATTCACTTCACAGCTTAGTCATCTTTCTTATCCCAGGATAATTGCTTATCTTAGTCCCCAAGGTCTCTCTGTCCTACATGATTCTCTCTCTCTGTGCCTCTGCCTCTATCTCTGTCTCTGTCTCTCTCTCTCCTGTTTATCCTCTTTGCCCTTCACAGACAAACCTAACTTGATGTCTCATCGTGGTACTGTTGCTACCTTCTGTTTTTCAGCATCAGTCACTAGGCAGTTAGCACAATAAAGAACTTACCTCCTTTCCTTCTTCCACAGAAAGAAAACTGTGGGAAATCAGTTTCACATACAGGATAGGAAAAGGAATACACAGACTTTCCCATTGCGAAGAGATTGACGTCAAGAAATAGCTCTTTGATGTTGTATCCTAAATAGCAGAGAAGAGTGGGTTTACTGAAGTTGTACAGGTATAGGAAGACCTATTTTTACTTTATACAAAAATCTGTATTAGTATGAACCAGAAAATTATTAGTTTTTAGGAAAAAAAACAACAACTGCCTTGTATCTATGGTTTTTGAATCGTGTTGTAGTGCTGCAGTATGGGATAGTGTTGCAATAGATAAAAGCTCAATGGAATAAAAGAGGCCTCTCCAGTTTTGTTTTTTTGATCAATCCCCTACATTCCTGTAACCTCATACTACAGTCTTTCAATCTGCATAGTACCACACATTGCCAAGCCTAGAGCTTCATATGGGGCCATAACTGCATGATGGGGCCATAAATGAAGAAACATCCAGATAACATTACTGCTAGCCTTCAGGAATCAGGCTGTTTGAGGGAACGGTAAGGAGAAAAAACAACAACAGCAACACCTTAAAACTTTGGTGTGAGTTTGTTAAATTCCAGACATTAAGAATGAACATTCCAAAACAGTCCAAGTGAAGATTTAATTTGTTCACCTGTTTTTTGGACTAAATAAAAACACCAGTTAACCAATAGCAAAGTTATAGAATCTTTAGGTGGAGAGGAAAGCATGGCATTCTTGTCATTCTACTTCCAGAGTTCCTGGCAATGTCTGTAAAATTATAGAAAAGTCTTCATTGTGAAATGTAATGCAACAATCCAAGAAGGGATAATTATCAACTTCAAATGTCTCTAGTTGCCATGTTTAACATTTACTAGATACCAGTGTTATTCTAGGTATTTATGGTGTATATACCAAGGCAGCTTGGCTTTTAGAATATGATTTAAAAATGGGAGTTCATTAATTCCTGATCAACTAATAATTTGTACGGCATGTTATACTTTAAAAAGGCACTTTCAAATCCATTCCCTCATTGTGCTTCCATAACAGCTCTGTAAGGCAGAGAAGATGGTATTAATCCCTTTTTATGGACTGGAAAACTAAGGCTCAGAAAGGGGAACTTACTTTGCTCCAGATTACACTGTGAGTTAGAGACAGAGCTGGGATTAAAAGCCAGGTTTATGAAAAAGTTAACAGTGCCTGCAGGGTCAGAGTTTGGCCATTTCATTTGGGCTATGGATTCAAAATGAATCACGTTTCCTTCCCTCCCTCCCTCTCTCTCTCTCTCTCTCTCTTCTCTCTCTCTCCTCTCTCTCTCTCTCTCTCTCTCTCTCTCTCCTCTCCCTCTCTCTCCCTCCCCTCCCTTTCTCTTCCCTTCTGTCTTTCTCTCTCCCTCTCCTCTGTCTCTCTCTCTCTCCCCCTCCCATCACCTCCATTAAGCAACTTCATAATATAAATTTATTTAGTGCAAGCATGTGGTATTTCAAATAAATGTAGACCATGTTAGTGCCATCTATGGGTAATGATAGAGACCTACATGAGAGCAAGGCCTATTTACCGTGTAGTGGATAGAGTACTGGACCTAGAGTCAGGAAGATTCATCTTTCTGAGTTCAAATGCCCAAGACATCCATATTTATTTTTCTCCCAGCTCTGCTCTTGACTTTCTGGACTTTTCCATTTCCTCACGAATAGCCTTGCTCCAATGTAGATACCATTTCATCTCTCCTCTTTTATAGCTCCCTTATATCTGCTATCTTTTCCCATCATAATGTAAGCTCCATGGGGGTAGGGACTATCTTTTTTTGCTTGTATTTATATGTGCAGCATTTAGCACAGTAACAGACACATAGTAACCACTTAATAAATGTTCTATCATTCTATTTGTCATCTATCTATACACTTGTCTATGTGTGTAGGTATGTATTTACGTATGTATGTATCGATCTGCACACCTATTTGTGTATGTGTGTATGTATGTATGTGTGTATGTATGTATGTGTGTGTGTATGTATGTATGTATGTATGTATGTATCTATCTATCTATCTATCTATCTATCACAGTCTTAGAGAATTGTCAGGGAGCAATAAGAGATTAAGTGACTTGCCAGGATCATACCAGCAGTATGTATGTGTCAGTGGCATGAATTGCATCCAGGTCTTCCTGACTCCTGCTTCCTTTCACCTGGCACATGGTAGCTGCCTAATAAATACTTGCTAAATTATTATTTGATCAATAAGTGTTTAAATATGGAGTGATCTTATGTGCAAAATATAGTAAAATCCTTTCACTTGAAACTTAATGAAAATGTTTTAATGAAGACCTTTTAATAATTATAGCAACCACAGGGCTAGGCTAATTTCAGAGACATAATTACATATAAGTTGAAAAAGTAGAAATCCAATTCCAGTTATACCATCTAGGGGTCATTCCTCTTCAGGGGTCATGCCAACATTTAAGAGTCTCCTCGTAGGGGAGAGGTGCAAAATATGCTGATGGTGGAGGATTTACATGTTGCTGAGATAATTACTCACATCAAATTGTTGAACAGATTGATAGTCATAATTTATTAAATGTATTAGGCTCCAAACACTTAACTTATTGTTGAGTCTTCTGATTCCAGTTATTTCTATCATTATGTTTATAAATGAGTGCCTACAGCTCATATTACTTGAACAGATAATTAAATAAGATTTCTGACCATGGAGTTTATCATCTAAATGGACAAACGAGAGATGGGAAGAAAATACAGTGCATTACAGAGAAACCAGCAATAACCTCCATAGTGAAAGCAAGTGGTCTTGACAGTTGGAAGGTACATGAACTCTTACTTTTAATGTCCAAGCTGGTAATTTTTACTTACTTAGAATAATTCCAAACCGAATTTTGAGATTTTCACTTAGTGGATTGTTACAATGGTCCACAGAGAAGCCAAAGTCTTGTAGTGGATCTGTCAAAAGGAAAGCAATAGATTGGCTTTATTTCCATCACTGAGTCCTCTATTAGATAGCTAGGTGGTCAAACTACTGCAGACAAGACTTTGGATTTAGAATCAGAAAGACCTGCCTTAGACACTTACTCAGCTGATATGACTCTGGGCAGGTCATTTAACCTGTCTCGGTTTCCTTATGTGTGAAAAAGGAAATTAGTACCTACATCAAAGAGTTGTTGTGAGAATCAACTGCTTTGCAAACCTTAAAGTGCTATATATTTATTAGCTATGTATATTTTAAAATTAGCTATATGCACAATTCTTGTACATAGGGTTCTATTTTATGGCACAAAAGATAGAACACTGGGCTTGGGAATCAGGAAGAACTGAGTTCAAGTCCAGCCTCAGACCCTTACTAGCTGTGTGGCGTAGCAGGGCAAGTCCCTTAACCTTTGTTTACCTCAGTTTCCTCAACTCTAAAATGGGGATGATAACAGCACCTACCTTACAGGGTTCTTGTGAGGCTCAAGTGAGATAATGAATGTGAAAACAAAACAGAACAAAACATAACATTTAGCACAACAATCCTTTGAGGAAGGTGTTAGTTTTAGCCCCTTTTTACACATGAAGAAACTGAGGGAGATTCAGGTTAATGCCTGGCACATAGCAGACACTACATAAATGCTCATTCCTTTCCTTTCTCCTTTCCTTTCCTAAATACCCTTCTTTAAAAAACTTGTCAGTCCACTCTCCATCTCTTTTATTATGAAACTGTTGTAAATCTTTAAAGATTTTCCAGTTTCATATAGATACTGAAAATCTGTTTGCATTTGTATAAGGCAGACGTTGTTTCTTCTGTTTTTGTATCCCTAGCATTGGAGTGGGGAGCTGGTTCCTCATACTTTATAAATGTTTATTGATTGAATTTACTAAGCACTCTCACATATTTTATGTCTCATGTGGTCCTCCCTCAAACTCTGTGAAGTAGGCAAGGTGGATACTACTTCAGGACAGTCAGTTCTGCTGGAATGCCTGTTTTGAAAACTCAAATTTGTTCTGATGTGATTGCTATATTAAGGAACAACTTAAGCCTAGCATGAATTTTGATTTGCATATGCACAGTTTCACCTGAAACAGTAGAATACAGAAAACTACACCCCATTGAACTGAACCACAAAGGAATGAACAAAATGCACAGGCGCATACACCTCAAATACCTACTAGCTAGCTACCTCAGTTCACCAAGTATGTTTTCCTCCAAGGTGGGGGTTTTGCTATTTTGGGAATTTTTTATTATTAAAAAGCACTATTTCAATACCACAAGTACATGACCTACAGTCCTTTAATGTAGAAGCTGCTAAATCCTGTGTTATCCTGATTGTGTTCCCACAGTACTTGAACTGTTTCCTTCTGGCAGCTTGTAATATTTTCTCCTTGACCTGGGAACTCTGGAATTTGGCTACAATATTCCTAGAAGTTTTCCTTTGGGGATCTCTTCTAGGAGGAGATTTGTGGATTCTTCCAATTTCTATTTTGCCCTCTGGTTCTAATATATCGGGGCAGTTTTCCTTGATAATTTCTTGAAAGATGATGTCGAGGCTCTTTTTTTGATCATGGCTTTCAAATAGTCTAATAATTTTTAAATTCTCTCTCCTGGATCTATTTTCCAGGTCAGTTGTTTTTCCAGTGAGATATTTCACACTGTTTTCTAATTTTTCATTCTTTTGGATTTGTTCTACTGTGTCATGATTTCTCATAAAGTCACTATCTTCCAATTGCTCTATTCTAATTTTTAAGGAAGTATTTAAGAAAGTTACAGCCCATGAAAGCCGTCCCCTCTCCTGCTGCCTTCAACTTTGCCAGCCTGGAGCTATGGCTGTGGGGGTACAGTCTGAGCAGTGGGCTGAAGCTGTAGACTTTTTGTTGTTCAGTCAATTCAGTCATGTCCAACTCTTCATGACTCCATTTGGGGTTTTTCTTGGCAAAGATATTGGCGTGGTTTGCCATTTCCTTCTTCAGCTCATTTTCCAGATGAGGAAACTAGGTGGTGCTCTATAGTGTTGGCCCTGGAGTCAGAAGGAGCTGAGTTCAAATACAGCCTCAGACACTTACTAGCTATGTAACTTTGGGCAAGTCACCTTAACCTTGTTTACCTCAGTTTCCTCATCTATAAAATAAGTTAGAGAACTACTTTAGTATCTTTGCCAAGAAAACCCTAAGGGTAGTCATGAAGTCATGGACATAGCACTATGTATTATAGTATTTATATATTTTGTAACTACTTAACATGTGTAGAACTGTGTTACTGTTTTTATTGGGTTACTATATTTTTTTAATGTGTCACTGATGAAGTTTTGGAATATTGTATGCCAACTCCATTTTTCCAAATTTCTTTTTGCTCAATTATGATAGTGATGAGTTTTAGAAATGTGTACTTCTCATCACAGCAGAACTGATTATACTTCAAAAGGTCACGACTTAATTAGTAGGGTCAACAAGTCAAGTCAATAAGCATTTATTAAGGCTTGCTATGTGCCAAGTACTGTGCTAATTGATAGAAATATAAATAAAATCAGAAATAAAGAGTACCTGCCCTCAAAGAGCTTACATTCTAATGGAGAAAGACAACACAGAAAATGGAGGCTGAAAAGTGGAGGTGGGGAGGAGGAAGATGAAGGGCATGGTAGGGAAAGTTCAGAGAGTCAAGATTATAGCCTGGAGAAGAATGAGAGGACCTCTTCCACCCGTTGATATAGAGCACAGCTTCTCCAAGCCTTAGTTGATGGTTTCATGAGCTGCTGTTACCCTCAAATTAAAATACCTGGTGTCTAACCTTTTGGTGATCTGCCTCTCCAAACTTGACTGGGGTGGTCCTCACATAATAGACAGTGTCCACTGATGGGTCAGTACTAGGAGCCTTCTTGGAAGCCTTCTTCCAGAACTTATATTCTACTGCCATGGCCTTTGAAAATTCAAGGTCACTTCCAGGACTTCCAAGGTCTATGACATTGGTTCTATAAGCCTCAGTTTCCCAATCTACAAAATGATGATAATACCTGTCCATTTCAACAAAAGCCCTATTTACCATGTCCCTATTTAATAAGCACAATCTTATTTGGCACATTTGATTTGCTATTTAATTTTTTCCTATGTCTTTATTTTATCTTCTTAATTTGAATAAAAAAACAGAACAAAAGGTTAACTTGTATAAAACAATTATCACAATAAAAAGGCCAAAATAGAGGAGAAATTGCCTTAGCCAGTCGACACTTGATATCTCAGCCAGATGGAGAGAGATGACAGCCAAGGGTTTAGAATATAAACTCATTTGCACAACACTAAAGATGATACTATTGTGAGGTTACAAACAAAATCACTTCATAAAAACCAAAACAATGAAAGTGAAAACAATCCTATGGAAAGAGTGGCTGAGTATCTAGCTGAGATGTGTACTATCAAATGAGCTGAAAGATGAAACTGAGAGGACAAAAGAGACATGGAAAATTGAACAGATAGCCTTTCACAAATGATTTTCTATAGTATATCACATCTTCATAGTTACATGAAAGGCACAGGGAATACAATATTCCAATGTGTTTATGTCTGTTGATTGCCCAAAATAACCCACCCCCAAGTATTTGACTTGGTACAACAAAATGCTTCTTTAACTAACCTTGTAAAATGAAGAATATCTCATCTATATGTTAAAATCATAAAAGATTTCTTGATAATTGCAACTACTGAGATAACTCTTTAAGTGACCACTGTATTAATATCAAGTGAAGTGAAATATAGTGTTTATATAGTGTCTACTAAGGTGTTCCTTAGTAGGTAAGTAAGTAGGTAAGTGCACTAGGTGTTCCAATGAATAGAAGACGGGGCACAAAGTCAGGAAAACTCATCTTCCTGGTTCAAATCCAGCCTTAGACACTTACCAGCTGACACTCTTACCAGCTGCGTGACCTTGAGCAAGTCACTTAACCCTGTTTGCCTCAATTCTTCATCTATAAAATGGGCTAGAGAAGGAAATGTCAAACCACCCCAGTGTCTTTGCCAAGAAAACCTTAAATGAGGTCACAAAGAGTTGGACACAACTGAAAATGATTGAACAACAATGAAGATAAAGGCTAGAACTAAGGAGAAAGATTAGGACTGGATATGTAAACAGAGTCATCTTCAAAAAGATGTTAGTTGAATCCATAGGAGAGAACCCAGGAAAGATCCCTAGGATATATTTATGTATAGAAGCTGGGTGAGATATGAATGATGAACCTGAAAAGGAGACCATTAAGGATTGATCTACTTGGTAGAAGGAGACCATGACAGAGCAATCATGAAAACCTAGGGAGGAGATAGATATTGCCCCGAAAGAGGGAGTAGTCAACAATGTGAAGTGCCCTAGGCAGGTATGAATACTAAGATCAAGCCATTGGATTTAAAAATAAAGAAATCATTCACAAACTTGCAGGGAGCAGTTTTCATAAAGTGGTGGGAACAGGAACCAAATTTCAAGGCATTGAGAATTAAGTAGGAGGTAAATAGGTAGATGCACTATGTGAAGACAGATTTTTCTGAGTCTAAAACAGGAAGACATATAGTGAGTAAAGGTGATCACCACTGTCATAGAGATGTTGGACAGGGTCTTAGTGGAAGAGGGATTACTGATGGCTGGTAAATTTCAAAGCTCCTGAAAATTATTTATTAAGTGCTTAGCACTGTACCTGTGTGGGCAGCAGAGAAAGAAAAACCAGCTCCATTTTGCCAGCAGTTCCTCTATCTTGTCCTTGACAGTGTTTACATTACAGCTGTTCCTCCCCACCCTTACTGCTGAAAGAGCAAGGTCAGTTCTATCTATCAGGGTAGGATTATAAGAGATAGGTAACCTGAAGAACAGCCTTTTCTCTCACAAGCCCCCAGCAATAGGCCTCTCCCAATTATGGGATACCACATTCCCTATTCCCACCCTATAAGCCCCCAGCAACAGTGCTGTCCAATACTAGGGTACCCCATATCCAATT